ACATTCCTTTGAAAAAATATTATTTTATTGTTTGGCGTATCCCTTGCTTATTTCCTAAAAGCCCCAACATAATCCCCTTTCCGCCTGTCTGGCTTTATTATTTTATAATCAAGTCGGAAGCCATTCAAGATGGCCATTTGGTTGACTAAATTATGCTAATATTAAGGCAGTGCCTTTTGTTGCCTAGCAATTAGTAAAGATAATTAGGTGGCAACCGGCATTCAAGGGCTTCATCGCACATGAGCAGTGGCCTTTTTTTAAATGCAACCGGCATTCAAGGGCTTCATCGCACATGAGCAGTGGCCTTTTTTTAAATGCAAAATAATTACATTCACGTATGCATCTCTGCCACACGCCTTTTTTCCTGTATCTCCCTGCGGTTTTTTATTCACCCATTTATTTCATAGTTGCCTCGCTTGCCGTGTGTCTGTGGCGAAAAGTTTCAGGCATGTTAATAACACTCATAATTAAAAATTAAATGCTATAATTTCGGGTGCGCTGCCGTGTGGCTTTTTCCGTTTGGTTACAAATTATTTCACAGTTATGTGGCAAAAGACAATTATTTACGCAGCCCTTTCAGCCTCTTATTTCTTTCCCCATTTTCAGACCCATTTCTCATTTACATAGATGTTGCCCGTAAACTTTGCCAGCGCAATTATACAATTCACAGACCATGTTTGCCGAGACTCACAACAAGCCATGTATTTTTGATGGTCATCTAAAGAAAAGTGTTGAATGATCACCCAGCTCCCCTCGTTTCCAAATGGCCATGTCGACAAGTACTGGCCAGGCAATAAAAGTTGGCAACTACTTTGCAAGTTTTTCTCGATGTTTTATGGAAAGGGAGAAGGTTAAACAAGCCAGATACTTAAAAACACAAATATCCAAACTGCTTCAAAACGCTTTCGCCCAGAAGCCAAGGCAATGAAATATATTTTAAAAGTTCCCTTGATATTTCTGTACATCTCAAACGAAACGACTTTCAGGGCCGAGATTTAATTACCTTTTTAAGGCTCAGAAACCTCATTTGCTTGTTTCGTTCTCTCGGATATTGATGCTGTCATCTCTTTTAATATGGAAACTTTACAAAAACTGCTAGAAAATGCATATACTTGCGGGATATCTGTTTTTCCAATATATTGTTTGGAAATCAATTGTATTTGTAATTATTTTTGCCGAAAAGTATAACAAAACAGTAGTTCATTGGCAACTTATGTTATTTTACTTATATTACCATATGTTACTTGCAATATTCATATTTTTTTCCAGTGAATACAAAGACAAATTTAAGTGAAATCAACTAAAAGCGGACCTTAAATTGTGTTGCAAGGCCCTCTCAGTAGGATCTGGCTGCAATGCCACTTTGAATAATTATTGGCGCAGGGACAGAAAGTCAATCAGTGGAAATGCAGCAGCAATTTAATACAATTGCGGGCCAAGGCGCTTATTCAATTAATTACTTGAAACAGTGCGTCAAAAAGCGGGCAAGTAATGCAGAAAAAGGCGGGTAATTATTTTACACTTTGCTACGGCTGTCGTTCGACGATTTTCCACAATTTTTCCAACGCCGCCCCACGGAGCCGAGGCTGCATTTTGATGAAGTTTTTCCGCGACACGGGCAGTTACACTTGCAGTTGGTCATTCCATCTGTCGCCTGTGCATAATAAAGTTTACTATAAGTTTGTTAAATCCATGCCAGCCAGTTACCCAGTTTTCGGGGTGGGCCTTTGCAATTATCGACATCTGATTAAATGAAATCAAAGACAGGCCTTGCTAAAGGCAATATAAATTCGCATAAATTCGCCGGGGCGCTTTAAATGTCAAGTGCCGCTCGTCCATCGATTTTTCTGCCTCGCTGGCTGCTGGGGTCATTTATCAATATGTAGATTTCCTTGGGTAAAGTTCAATGGGTCCACAGGCTCACACCCATGGACAAGCCATATAAATTGCGTAATTTTTTTTACACACACTCACAATTGGAGATAAATTGACTGATATGCATGTTGTGGGCCGCCGTCGTATGTCTGGCTGTTTGATGTATGCGTCTGTCCGAAAAAGTGTCCTCACACTTTCCACTCCACTTTCGCTTTTCTGCTCTTTGATTTTTTCTTTAAATAAATCGACGCCCGAAGCCACTTCCGGTGACTGCACTAAAATACCAGACAAGAGCTTAATGGCAGCAATTTCCTGCAGCTGAAATTTAAATGGGTTCATGTCAACTTCACCTCTAAATTGTATTTTTGGCCCAGAGTTCCCTGTACAACAAAAGGTAGGAGGGAAATATTTGAACATCAGATGTCAATAAAAAGTGGGTTAGCAGAGACCATACACAAGTTTCCGGTTGGAGAAATGATAAGGACCTTAGGGCATTTATTTATTGAAGGCTTAATTTATCATTTAAGCTGAAATGAGAGGAAATTTTTAAAGAGATCACATTACATTTGTTTTTCTTTCCCTTGTCAGTTAGTCTGGTGTTTGATTGTTAGTTTGGTGTTTGATTGTTTTTGTTACTGAAAGTTGAGTTTCATTGCGTTCTTTTCACACGTAAATGACATTAATAGCTCGCATTGCATTTCCGTTAGTTAATTTTCCAGCTAGCAAAGATGAAGTTAGACCTCACGATGAACGATCGGCACAACCTGCGATTCCAGTCGGTTTATGGTGGACTGGTGCCCCAAATAGCCAGGCTGGTGCCCTTCAACGACTCGGAGGTCACCTGCATTCTGCTGATCTACTACAAGTTCAGCCTCCAGAACGGACCCTCCGCTCGCCGGATCACCTCCACCCAATTGGTCAACATCGTGATCGGGTTCCAGCAGCTCTACGACATGGACGTGGTGGATCGCATCGTGACCCTGATCGCGGGGGGCAGGAAGCAAGTGACGCCCATGGAGTTCGTCCACTACATGACCATCCTCATGAGCGGGGACATGGAGCGCAAGATGGAGTTTGCATATATGGTAATGTGGTGCAACAGGCAGACAGACACAGAATATTTGCAAATTTTTAATAATTAAAGTACGAAAAACCCAACTTAATGTTAAGAAACGTATTTTTTAATCCATTTCTCAAGTTTTTGCTGTATTATTTAAATATAAATGAAGCTATTCATTTCTTCTTAAAGTATGAGAGCCAATAATGAAATATAAATTTTCATTCACTTAATTCAAAAATTGCTTAAATTAAAATCACCAATAGTTTTCTGAACACCATTGCATTGGAAAAGATAAAAATAAAATCAAAATGATATTTAAAATTAAAAAAAAAGATCTGCATTTTGGCACTTTGCCTAAACACTCCATTAAAGTTTAAGATATTTTTTAACACAATTTAGTTGAAAAAACAATGTTTTCTTTTTGTTATAACACAACATTTTTTAAAGAATAGGTGTACGATAAAAATGGATTGGGCATTAATCGAGAGATAATTTCATCTTCGGTCGAGAGATTTTTCCCCGGGGACGATGACGAGGTACTCGAGATGCGACTGGTGAGCTGAATGCTTATAAACCTAATGATTTACATCCAATTTTCCTTTTGCACTTAAGGACATGGTCGAGTTTTTACTCCTCAAATTTGACGAAGACCAGGATGGCATCGTCTCCTTTGAGGAGTACAGATCGATCGTGTTGCAACAGCCGAGCCTGCTGGAGTTCCTGGGTCCCATCTTTCCCTCGGACGAGACGCGTCTGGTGGTTGCCTACTGCACGGCCATGTACTCTCACATCCCCGAGATGGGCACGATATAGGGGTATAGGGTATGTGGCAGCTTGCCAGGACTCCCATAGTCGCATAAATCTTTCAGGCACAAATAAATCGAAAGCAATGCAAATCAGTGCGCCCCGCCGTCGCGTTTTTCTCTGTTCAGCCATTGTAGCCACTCGAAAATGTCAATGACAATGATGATGAACTGCAGAATAGAGCGCTGACAGCTGCAACGAGACGCTGGATAGATGGATGGATGGAGCACATACAGGGAACATCAGCTGCCTCTCATGTACACCGAGAAAAAGTGTGGCACAAAACTTTGAAATTATATAACAGCACAAAATAGTATACTTCTTTACAAATATCGACTTAAAGATCTTAAAATAAATATTTAGTTTAAAGGTTTATTTAAGCTGACACAATCGCTACCAAAAAAAATTCAAAATAAAAATTTTTTTCTTTGGCTTCAATGCTGGCTGAAATAAACAGATAGATTTAATTGTAGGGCTTAAGCACAAAAAATTAATACAATAAAATAGTCGCATTGAAAAGAAAAACTCTTTAAAAAACTTTGATTTCAAAGTTGATAAGTCAATATGGATATGACTTAAAAATTTTATTTTTGAGTTGGGTTTTTTTAAGTGCACTGTCTGCCTTAGTGGCATAATTTTAAATATGGAGCGGAGCTCCAGAAATACTTTGCTCTGGTTGAACGCTCCACTGGCTCGTCGACTGCCTTTTGCTATTGCCCCACGACAGCTTGATTTGTTGGCAGTTGGCGTACAATTGACATTTGATGGATGGTGTTCTACATTGTCGGGACATTCGCCATTTGAGCCTTCCAGCTGCAGTCGGCGACCATTGAGGCACTGCAGGCCCTTGAAGTATTTTCTTTTGCCGGTCGCTCTAATTATGGCGGTTCCACTTTGGGAGTGCCATCTAAACCATTACGATTTTGTAATTGGTTTTAAGCTACAAGCTTTTTCTATATATCTGATATATATACAACATAAATAGTTTTCGGTTACAGTTTGGTAAAGTACTTAATAGATCTAGATGAAATAGCATTTAAGCTCCCCACTATTAAACATAATTTTCCGTACTGTTTTAATATTTGCTTTGTCATTATTGTGGTACTAAAATTGGGTTTAAGCTTGGAGTAGCTTATACTTAAATGGATATTGCAAAGTTGAATGTCCAAATATGGAGTTTCATAACGCTTTCTGAAGCTAAAGTCGATGGGAAATAAAAAGTTTTGCGTTATTCTAGAGATTAAAATTTGAAGACTATGGTTTATTTTTTTTTTAATACTAGGGGAGGATAGTGTGCCATAGGCGTTAGCATTGCGCGTTTAATTCCATCTGCATACCAAATGCTGAAAAACCCATAGTCACCTTCCGGAAATGGCAATATAAGCGTCAATTGGTAGCTAAAATAAGAATATGGTAATTTATCCACCTGGACATCATGCTAAAAGATCGGTTTTTATATTGAGAAAAATTTGTCAAAGGGACACTTATAAAAGAGGTTGAAAAAAAATTTGATTTAACAAAATCAAAAAAAAATTAAATGCTCACTTTAATTTTGCGAATAGGCAACTTGAGAGGATTCACTTTTAGGGACATGTATTTGTATGTTCGATTCACAGACTTCAGATAGCAATATTCGAATTTTGAGAATGATTCATCCAGCGAATTGTAGTTAATATTTGTAAACTCGAAAGGCGAGTATGCCTACAGATACACATTTTAAGCAAGGCTAAGATTGCTTTGATATCATGTTTAAAAACATACTTCAGAGATCATTAAGATGAGCAGAAACAGCCAAATGCTTACACAATTTTTCCAACACATTGCAGGCGCTGAAAAAAACAAAACTACTGGGAAAACTGTATTAAGTACATGCCCTTTTATGTTTATCTCCCTTTAATAGAGGAATATTATTGTAATTAATTATAATCATTTATTGTAGTTGTAAAAAAATAATTCAGTATCCTAGTTTCATTTCACCAATTTCATGTAAAGTTTATTCAGTTCAAGTATATCGCGATGTTTTGGTTTTAAATTTGACATTTTTGTCAAGGTACGTTTACGGGAATGGAGGTATCAAGAAGCCAAAAGTTTTTCACTATTCCCTTCTTATTTTTTGCAATAACAATAAGGTTTTTATATTGTAGAAAACAGCTTTGAATGCTCTTTAATATTGAATGTTCATTTCAAATCTGACACATTAAAGTATTTTTGGGATTAATATACAAATCTGTAGAGAGCTGAAGGCCTCTTGCAGCTATAGCTCTAACCACTATTTTTGTTAGCTCCTAGTTTTAACTATTAGTTAGCATTGTATAAATAAATAAATAAATTTGGTGCCTGCCGGACATGACGATTTCACTTCTTCAAACGGCATGCCTAATGGCCAGAAAAATGGGCACATTTGCATACCAGTCGGCACGAAATTCAGAACAAGTAACGAGTCGGTGAAACATGAAACAAAAAGTAAACAAACATGAGTATAATAAGAAGAGTATCGGAGGTAAACGGGAAACTCGAGAAAGAATATTCTTTAAGAAAGCTAAATTGTTAATAAAAATATTGTTTTATACCCTCGCTGATTTTTAAAGTCTCTTTTATGAATTCGACTTAGATGTCTTTAGGTTAAGCCTCCTCACGATCACTGCCGTCTAAGTCTCTCGCATTTGTAATTATTTATGCAAAAATTCTTACCAAACAGACTTAATTTAGTTAAATGTTTGACTTCAGGCAGGCGCTCGTTGATTAACGGACTGGAAAGGGTGCCGAATGCCCTGCCACTCCCCCGGGTATGCAAATAACAATTTTGGCGGGGGCCACCTTCCTTCGCCCTTGCAATTCATTTACTTTGCTGTTGTTAACCCTGGGTGTTTGAGTTTGCCACTCGAACTTGCGTGTAAACATGCATGATTAAGTTGCCAGCGAGACTGAGAGGAAGGCACAAATTAGCATAAAGCAAGAAATGTGAAAAGGGAGCAACCTCCAGAGCAACAAGGCCTACATTCATTTTCCTTCAAAATTTAAGGGAACGGCCAGAAGACGCTCTATTTTGGAAAATACTAAGACGATTTTTAAACATTTGTCAGGGCAATAAAAATATTCCATTTATAGATGGCCAAAATTACATATATATAATATAAAAATCATTCAAACTTTTTAGTTAATTTCAAACGTTATAAACATATAGATTTTGTTTTAATTTCTGTGCAGATTTAATAGTTCAAACTGTTTAAGATTTAATTATTTCATTCTTTCAGTTCACCAAAGCATTATAACTAAATTGAAGCGAAATTTCGCTACAGTCAGGAACAGGAATATATCGATCGGGGAAAAATAGCCGGAGAATTCGGTCATGATAGAGGCGATGATGCCAGAAAACGTCCCAGGCTGAGACGAAGACGGGAAATTCGACGAAAATGAGACAGCGAGCCCTCTGCACTCAGCGCCTTGCATTGCAAAGTGAACTCAACTCCACTTACACGGAATAAAAAAAATAAAAAGGATGCCCGAACGGAGCTCACAATTTATGGATGCACTTGCCAGCCAAGGACAATGGCAGAAAAATATGTAGAAATGGAACGAAAAAAAATAGGAGAAAGCCAAACGTAGACAAATGTAAAATAATACGTGACAATAATGCTGCCAATGGCTGTGTTGATTAGGCTGCTTTATTTATGGACCGCTTTCCGCAGCGACAGCTGATCCGCAACCTTTTCGACTTTTAGATTTTTTAGCTTTTCCAGTCGTAACTCCGGGATGTCCAATCGTTGGTAAGTTCATTGAGCTGCCGCAATCCGGACTTGATCTGCAGGTTTTGTGGCCCAACTTGCTCTCTGAGCCTAATGAACCGATCCAATGTATGTGTGTGTGTGTGTTGTCCAAGTAAATATTATTTGATGCTGTGTCGGAAGCCATTTCCAGGTGGTATGTGTTTATGCATAAAATATTTACAAAGTTTCGTGTCTCCGTGCGGCTTTCATCGAGTCCAATTTGCCCAAATGCAGAAGTAACATTTGAGGCGAGCTTGTGTGGCAATTCATTTTCTTTTGCCTCTTATTATCCCAAGTTTATTTAGGAGCAGACCACTGGAGGCGGCGGGGCAAAGGGATTGGGCATGGGCATGGGCATGGAGCACCACATCAAAGCATTGCACGTGGCACGCATGAGTGGCAATGGCAAAAAGTACAGCAGCCGGAGCAGCTGGATAAGCTGGAGGAGCATCTGAAGCCCCGGTGGACCCAATTGCATTGCCATGGCCCCGAGTTGACCACAAAACATGCTCCCGGCTTTGAAAACCAAGCCCAACCAAGCCAACACAAGCCAGGCCAAAAAAAAAAAAAACACGGCAAACGAAACAAGATAAGGGAAAGCTACACGGAAAGTTTATTACATTCAAGAAAATATTTTATGTTTAAGAGCTATAAATAAAATTATGTTTCTTTCGAATTAAATATAAATTTAAGTCAACGTGCATAGACAAGTAGAGACAAACAGAAAAACATATAACGCTAGTCTTATGTTTTATGTCATATTTTTCTTAAATCAAATTAACTTTCTTCAGTTTTACCTTCTTATAAAATAATAGTATTCGAAACACATTTAAGGTATTAACTTTATTACTGACCCTATACTTGCCTTATGCAACTTTTAATGAAATGTAACCTTTTTGTAAGACAAAGTTAATTTAAGTACCCTTTGGCTGAGTGTAGGGCAACAACAGTAACAGAGCGGTAAATCAACTGCTGACCAGTGTACGGCTGCAGTTACGTATGTGAATTTGTAATCTAAACTTTTATACTCGTTGACTCGTTGCCTCGTTTTTCCATCAGCGGCGAACAGGAAACGGAAATTGCTGCTGTTGGCCCGTTGACAAAAACACGACACTTGCACCTCAAGTTGCCAGGAACTTTCAACTTGATTTTCCGACGACCAGGACATTATGCGACTGGCAATTGCGTACGGTTTTGTAGTCCTGTGTTGTCAAGCAGAGCAGAGCCACTGAATGTGTCCATGATTGCGATTGCTGGTGGATTGTTCCTGTTCCTGTTTCGGTTCCTATTCCTATTCCTGTTTTGTGGCCATTTGTCCATTGGGCCATTGATTAAGCGTGGCCAACTATGTCGGATTTTCTGCCCACACTTTTTCGGCCACGTTCACTCAATCAAAGCAAACTAAAAGTGTGCGCTCCGAGTTTAACCTCAGTTTGCATTCTTTATGAGTGTTTCTGCTCTGCATTTTTTGCTCGCTGCCTTTGAATGTTTAATGCAAATTGATTTACCCGCTTCTGTTTCGCCTTTTTGTATCAAAATGCCAACTTTTGCTTAAGCGAATTTGCAACGGCTTTAAGTTACAATTAAGCCCGCTGGGAAGAGCTTTCAACTTGTTAACTGATTTTACCGTCCCACCTTTGGTTCTTTCAGCTACCAGTTACCAGTTGCCAGTTGGCTGCACATTTGCGATGGCACACGAAAATTTTTAACTTAAATTACTTTTCGTAATAACTTTATTTTGTAATTTACGTAAGTAGAAGTAACATTTATGCAGGTGCATAAACCGCCAACGAAAGTAGCTGACAAACTATGACGGCGCACGTAAAAAACTTCGCGCAGAAGCCTTTGCGAATTTGCGGAAAAATTTTGCAGGGGGAAAAGGGGAAATCAGGAGACGCCCCGAGCGGTTGCCTTTCATTCGGCCTTGGTCCGCAAAAACTTAATGCCACTCAGCTAGATAATTTGCATACGGAAATGGTGGCGCTCTTTGATGGTTTTCCCCGATCTTTGGGAATCTATAGACGACGCCACCTGTCCGGGAATGGATGGTAATCCCTCCTCGTGCTTCTGCCCAGAACTCCAGTGGCATTTTAAATTTTAATACAGCACTTGCCCGAAGGGAAAATGAGAGCGACCAGGCACGTTGTTTTTCTTTCGCCTGCGTAATGAGGAAAAGTTTTGCTACATGCAATTTGCCCTTGTTCTTTGCTCCCTGTTTTCAGTTTTCGCTCTCTGATGCTTTTTGCCGGACTACTTGTCCTTGCGAAATGCCATTTGCATTTTCCAAAAGCACAGCCATAACGGCGAGGAGAAAGCAACACACTTACCTCAATAGTCAAACGAAACAAAGCAGAAGTGCGGCATACTTTGTGGCGCTTGGCATGCCAAACATGTGCCCCCCATTTGGTCCACCGGCTGACATACAAATCATTTTGCCGAGTACCGAACGCCAAGTGGGGAGCCATATTGAAGCTGGAGTGAAAGCTGGCTTGGGCACCGGGAAAAAGTCTATTTCAAATTCTGGGTTTACTTCCGCGAAATAAGAAGTTCCAGAAATTCCATAAGCCACTCAACTGTTCAAGTTTTGAATTCAAAACGTTTTGCATTTGGAAGGGACATCATCGAAAGACACAATTATACACAATAAACCATAAACCATTTGTGAATAGACTTTTAAAATTTTTGTTGAAATACATCACTAGGGTTTTGGAATATTTTTTAAAGGTGTGAAAAAGTATGAATCTTAACTTTAAAAATTCGTTGGATTTAGTTTAAAAATACGTCGTTTTTTAATTGGACACTTTTTGAAGTGATTTCAAAAACATAGTGTTTCCTGTGGCATCTCCTGTAAAAATATTTTGTTTTTATACGTATTATAATTCTGATCAGTCTTAATTGAAATCACAACCGGAAACCTATGGTTGAAAACTTTTTAGGCCAGATCAAAGTGGGGGCACTCTAGTGCAGCGTGCAGCCTTGCTTTAGTTGGCAGGGTCACACTCGAAACCTTACTGTCCAACAAGATGGTTGCCACATTTACATAGTTAATTACTTTGACACCGGCATAGCTTGCTTTTGTCTGGCCCAATCGCTTTGACATCTAATCTATAAATCAGAGACACTTGCCCCGGTCTTATCAATCAAAACCGTACTGGGAGGTGGTATCCTAAGATCCCAAGTGTGGGCAACAATTATGCGGAACGGCAGAGAGAGGCTCAAGAGGCACTCAGCCCGGCTGAAGGATTCAAAGGAGCGGGAGCTCCAGCTGGAAAAACCAAACAAACGGGGCTGCATTGCATGGCAAAGGGAATCAGCAGCAAAAGCGTAACCAAAGTGAAAAGTGTAAAATGCAAAATCTCATTGATGATTGAAAGCAGCAGGAGAAGCAGAATCCTCGGCACTTTTTTGCGACGCTTTGTCTCAGTCTCAATAACGAAATGCAAATACGGCAAAAAGCGAAAGCAAACACACAAATACGCACAAGAAGGAGTGGAAAAGTGGCGCATCGGCAGGACCAAAGCAAATGGAATGGCACAGAGGCGAACGGAAAGCTGCCAAGTGCCCGGCAAGGAAACCTGAAAAAAAGGCGGGCTACAAATTGAGATGACAAACCCGGAATATACAGATGCCCTAACGATGTCGAGCAAAACAGCTCTCAAACCATTAAAAATGTATTAAAATGTATATATATTAATATAAATATAAACAATAGAAGTATGTTTTGATTTCAAATAAAAGGTCAATCCCTCGTTCACGATGTACATTTCAAAATAATATATAATATACCACTCTTTGATATTAAATCGTGATTTTTTAATACTTAGAGTAACGATATTATAAATCTGAACATTATAAATGCAGTATACTCAACGCAAGAGTAAAGTGAGTGGTTTTAAAGCTATCTACTAACCTGAAATTAACAAAATCATGTGTTTGCAAAGCCAGCAAACTGATGGACAGTTACAATTAGTTTATTGAATGATTGTGATGTTTACCACCACCGATGGTTGGCACTAAATATCACTATCATATTATTTGCAAACTTTTTAAGTAAATGAAAAGTAAGCAACTTTGCAGCAACTTTTTGTTGTATTTTATGTGGCAAAAATAAGGCATTGCCAACTTCATAACCATGTCGGTGGACTTTTCTCCCCAGGGCAAATAAAATAAAAACACTACAAAAGGAGTGAGTGCGATGGGGGAGAGTGAGTGAGATGGCTTCCCGCACGGCAAAGAAAATGGCGTTAGCTGCAGCGCATAGAATTGCAAATTCAATTTCAATTCAATTGAGCATGTGTTTGCAACGGCACATCCATATGCTCCTAAGTTGCCATCTGTAACTGGATGTGTGTGGATGGGTGTGTGTGTGCGGGTGTGCTGGAGTGTGTGCATATGCGTGATGTATTGTGAGTGGGAGGGCATTGTTGCGCTCTTGCGGCTCTGCTTGTTGCATTGTCACTTATGGGCTGAAAGCGATACGGATCTACAGCGGCTTTGTCAATAATCAAACTCGATTTATATCGAACTTCTCGCATTGCCACGCACACACGGAATCCACATCTAAATTTAAACGATGATTGCGTGTGATTCAGATGGTTTTTATTAAATTACATGCTATGTAAATAATTCGCGTCCGTCTGTCATTAGGAAGCCGACAATTAATGCCAATCGCTGCTCATTAAAATTCAAATCATCCCTCCTCGTCCGTCCGTTTGTCTATCCGCTGTCATTATAAACATTTTTGCGCCAAATGTTAATTAGATTTGAATTTTGGAATATTTTCCCAACCAAAATCAAATAAGGCAGCGAAAACAATGGCGGTTTGACGACAGTGCGCTCGCATAAAATGCAAACACAAATCGACAAATATTATTTTTATGTGCTTTCAATGATAATGATTTCGAAGAGCCATCAAAACTGACAGCTCCAAAAATCGAAATGGTTGTGGTAATGGAAATAGCACCGGGCTTAGGTTGCGTTTGCGTAATATTAAAAAAATCTCTCATGATTGCAAATTAGTTGCTGAGAATGGGCACCAAATTGAAATTGCTATCGATTTGCTTAAGAACTTTAGATCGGCAGCGTATACGTATTGATTTTAGTGTCCAAAACTTATTAGCTGTTAACCGGAAAATGGAAGAGTTGTCTCCGCATCTGACTCCTGCCAAAAAACGGATCAAAAGTTAAATTCCTGTTTGACTTTTCATTCGAAAAATTGGATTTTGCATTTAGCCCGATGCCGTGGAAAAAGTTTCGGCCCATCCCAGCACACTGGGATAAGCCGCTCACAGAAATGCAAGCCAATGCAATGCTCAACGAAAATACGAAAAACTTTTTTAGTTCCACAACTAATTTATCAAATTTCAGAGATTCGTTCGTGCTCTCTGATTCTCTGTTTGAGTTGGTCCACCCGCTTTCGACTTAGCTTACAGATTACAGGGGCCGAAACAATGGCCATAATAATTTCAGTTATTTAAATGACAGCAGCAGCAGCAACAGACCTAAGCCAGCTAAATGCATAAACAAATCCGGTTGTCAATTTGCTAATTGCTGTGGTCTTGCCTTTTAATTGCCGCCGCAATTCCGCAAAAATGAAAATGCCACAAAAAACTCCAATAAAAATCCAAAGCCGCCTGCAAAACTGGGAAATTGTGGGTGCGCACTGTGGGCGTTCCTGCCCTCTGGCCTTGCTAGCACAATTGAAGCGTGTTATTAGCTCTAATTGTTATAAAGCCCTTTTAATTGGGTGTCTGATAAAGTTGCGCCGAAAAGAAAGCCCAAGCCTCCGGAGATCCTAGCCGACATTCACCTTAATGAAAAAAGGGCTTTTGTGAACCCATTAAGGGAAAAGAGTGAGGTGAGTTGGAGAAAAAGGCACGGCTGGCTTAGCAATTTCTTTTTCGGTCGGCCCGATAAAACTTTCTCGCAAAGTATTTTTCACACGCGCCACAGTGCGTATGCGTAATCTTTGGAAACCGCAAAACGGAATCGCAGCAACGAGAATATGGGCGGAGCTTGGCATTTGTTTTTTAGGAAGAGCATTTTATTTTAAGCGTCTTGTTAACATGGTTTCATCGTGTGGCTTAATTAATTTTCACTGTGTTTGCAGGTAGGATAAGCCCCTCGACTAGAAAAAAACAGAACCCAATGCCAGGCAAAACAGTTCGCCTACCCAGGCAACGTGCCCGATCATAAAACTTCGCTAATCCACTTTCAATTAATTGCAGAACGAACTCACACAACTAAAAGGACTTGACCGGTGAATTCATTTGAGTTTCCCAATGACTACCGATAAGAATTTTATAAAAAATCGACATTATTATTATATTTATTATTTTATTATTTTTATTTAACAATCAAAATAAATGAAGCCATTAAGCAACCAAATATTGAAATATCGATTTTTTCAAGTTGGTTTCGTAAATTGAATTCAGAATCCTCTTACTATAATAAGAAAAGTCTTAACTATAAGCAATTGTATCTGCAATCCCATTTTAAAAACAATTCCCTAAAAAAAAAGGATTATAGCTGCTTCGAAATTTTCCTTGAATTAACCATTTCTCGGGAGTGCCAAGAGAACAGATGCCGCGGTCAAACATTTTCCACGCCGAGGATTGAGCTCAAGACAAATGATGATGCATAAACAACGCGCCGATAATCCCGCTTAAAAGCTCTAACATTTGTTTGGATTTGCCTGTCGCCTTCCAATATTTGCTTTATGCACATAATTTTTAGCTATTACTCTGGGCACCGCCACTCTACTGGTGGTTAATGTCACTCGATTTGCAGGCCAAGACGAATGGCCATCGATTTATTATCGATGTCTGGCAGAGCGGTTTATTAATATGCCCAGACCGCAAGGTGAAGGGATTGGATGGGATAGATGAGCAAGCGATGCAAACCATTTCAAAGCCGAATCGGGGATTGGGAGAGGTGCTACATAATCGTTTGCGGACGTGTAGTTGTCATCAATGCAAATACCACGCAGCGCACTTGTCAGCACCATCTACATCCACATCGACGTCCACATCCAAATCCTCCACCGCATCCTCCGCAAAATCCACATCCGCATAGGGCGAGCTTGGCAACATCGATGGCGTCGCATGATTGATCAAGTGCGTGCGTGCCAGGGACAGTGTCAAGCTGTCTGCTTCGCCTTCACCAAGCGAAAATATTTTAAAGCACAAAATCATTTATTATTTCTAATGCCTATTCGGAAATTTCCAGATATTTAAAGCTTATTCTAATCATTAAGGTTTTGAAATAATTTTTAAAGGTCGTAAAAAGGATGCAATTACAAAATGTCAGAGGAATTAAATAAATAAAAAATATTAAATATAAAGATATATGAATTAGTTTATATTATTTATATATTTTTATACTTTATGAATAATTTCAAAATTTATTTTGTATAAAATCATATTTGTATGCAATTAAATTCCTATTAATCTGCTTGCCCATTTTATATTCTTAACCTCTTATTTATATTATGGAAAGCCTAAATATTTTATTTACCCAAACTACATTTTCCTCAGTGTTGGGATGCAGCGGGATGCTCCAAGGCGGAACTCGTTGCCAAACCATTTTTCTGACATTTAGTTGACAGCGCAAATTTTTGTTTGCCCGTAATGTGCCCCCAACTTGGACCCGGACATCTGGTCCCCCATATAATGTCGATGTATATACGATTTCCCTGATCCATTCACAGCGCTCGTAAGTGCGGCTGCCGTCATGTGAGTGCTTAAAAAGCATTTCACGCCGTCCAACGAGCACAAATATGGGTTTATGAACAAGGTTCTGGACGAGTGCGAGAAAGAGAATAAGACCAGGACACTCGGCAGAGCTGATTTGACATTTATCACTGCACTGGTGACTTTCGATTTTTCGCTGGACCCCGGGAGTGGGATTTGGCATTGATGGAGTCGTTTGAAGCATGCCAAACGCATTTTGGAGGCAGTGCGAAATTTTAATGAAAACTGTTCTGTGTAGGGCAATCCCCTGAAATGGAATTGGACGGATTTGGAGACCCAAACCCATCCACTCGGCCAATGTGATAATCCAATTGGCAGGCACTGTGCCAGTGGCCGTGCGATTGCGGGTGTGTGCCACTGGAAAGCCCGGCCTTGTCTAATGTAATTCGTGATTCAGCATAAACTGCCAGTCGGCACGCCCACTACGCCCCCAATGGATTTATTGGCAAGCCCTAAAAGTTGCGCCTACACAGCAAAAAAAATGGTCTGGAATAGATAAGTCCGGAGAGTTTTTTATTATTAAATAAATATCTAAAACGACCAAACAGGTATGTCTTTATTGTGCGAAAAATAGCTAACTAAATATACCATAAATTACTAAAAAGGTAATACTATTTAGTCAACAAACGTCTGGTAATAAAATTCATTTCGTTACATTCAAAAATAAGAAAGAATGAAATAAATTTATGTATTCAATTGCATTATCAAACGGACTTCAAAATATATTTGTATTAAATAAAGCACAATTTTTAATTAGATATTACATATTATTATTTTATTTATATGTCTTTTGCATAGATTTAAGCTGAAGACTGCTAGGTTTTTATAGAGAAATTAAGATACAAAAGGTAAATAATATAGAAAGCTTTAGATACTAGCCAGCACCATCGAAAGCCCACCTTACTTTTCCTAGGTGTGATTGGAACTATGACTGGGATAGGATACCAAAAGGGATTGGGGGCTCAGTCTGGGCACTGTGCTGGGGCACTATCAAACGGTCGGATAGGCCAATTGCCAATTGTCAGATACAATTTATTCCCGCTCCCCTAGATGCTGCCACGGCTGCACTAAATGCGAATTGAAAATAAAATATTACACAGAGATTGCTGCAGCAGTGGCATCGCAAGGGGGCCTGGGTTGGGCGGTAGGTCAAAGAATGGCGAAGTGGCACTGGGTGGCGGAGTAGGTGAAGCAGCAGAAGGAATAGGTGGACTGGGGAACTGGGGAACACCGAAGACAAACAAACATCGAATGCAGCAAACAGTAACACGATTATGCCCATGGCCGCCGATCATCAGGACCAAAAGGAATCGTAAAACAAAAGCGCCAGATAGTTTGCACCGAATGCCTCACTGTTATAGCTATATATAGCTTCTGATTCTGGTTCTGATTTCGATTCTGTGTCTGCTCCTGCTGCTGCCGGTGATTGTGGGCGCCATTGGAGGCAGCAGCAGCAGCAGCCCCAATCGATTGTGTGCATTTTTTCGGTGGCGTTAAGTGTTGGCTCTCGGGAAAAAGGAAGGGAAAGCGTGGAAAATGCAGGGAACTGCAGGGGAATGCTGCTGCTGTCGTCGTCCTGATAGCGAGCACAGACAGACTACACCAGCAATTTCAGAGAGTCGCGGGAAAAAGGACGAAGCGCAGTAGCGTCATCCATGGCTGTCCTGTTTGTTGGGGAAATCACATTAGGCTGGTCCTAAAAATGCTTGATAAATAATACAAATTTTCTGGGGAAGTATGGTTGTGGAATTCTTAGATATTAATGCATTTTGGAAAATTTGTCAGATATTTAGAAGATCGTTATAAATTAAAATAATTTTTAAAATTTTGTTCTATCTTATGTTTGAGTTTAAGACCACCCTAGAGCAGTTCATCCCAGTTGGGGGACAGGGACAGATGGAGATTCGAGTGCAGCACAGTGCAGTGACACCTTGAGGCGCTGTTGGCAAACTATAGAAATCACATAAACGCCACGCCCCCGCCTTAAGTCCTTTTCCTACCACCTCCCACAATTCCGAAAAGCGCAGGTCCTAGCCCGCATTCGCAGCATCCAAAAAACAGGGCATACTTGTAAGTGTGGAAAAAGGGGCATCTAGGAGATCAGAGACAGCCCACATGCGATGGCCGTGGAAAAGAAAATGCAACGTAAAAATGCATAAATCCGTGGGATTTAAAGATTTCGCTGGAATTTGTGATTTCTCGCATTCGCTTTTTATTTTTGCACGTTTCGCTTGGGGCTACCGCATTTCTTTTTTTTTTAGCCCCTTTTTATTCGGTGTGGTTATGTGTGTATATGTGTGTGTATGTATGTGTGTTTGAGTCGTGAGTGGATTTACGCGCTGTTCGTCCTGGATATAAAAAAGAGTCCTTTTCCGTGGCTGGCACATCCATTCCCAATTCCCCGCTTTGACTGTTTAACACGCGCAATCAGCAGCGCTACAAATTTCATATGACATTTTAAGTTGTTTTGCATTGCCACGCCCCCCCAAAATCGCCAAGCTATTTCAGCGATTTGCTTTCAGCGACAAAAATCCGCGACAGTGCTTTGTGCATCGCATTTCGGTGACTTTGGGGCATAATATTTCCACGCGCGATTCGCATTCCACTTGCCATTGTTCCATTTTGCAGTTTGAACCTTATCATTTTTTTGTTTAGCGCAGCTCAAATGCAGATTTTCACTTTTAGCTGAGAGTTTCTATGTTTCCTTTTTCATGTTACACATTGCATCACAGCAGCAATTTTTATGGCCAGGAGTGAAACATGTAAGTGGATTTTATTAATTAGGGAATATTTGGACAGTTGAAAACCGTTGAGTCTAATTGCAAAATCGTGTTGATTTCAATACGAGTTGATTTTAATTCACGTGGAGAAGTAGAGGGCACAGCAAATCAGTTCGAACCTTTCAGCATCAATAGTATTATACAAAATAAATTGATTATATTTATTTTCACTCAATTAGCGTACAGTGACGAACATTATTTCGCAGGCTGAACTTTCGAACAAAAATGTATTCCTAAAAATGTGGGTTATTTTGGTTTTCATGGACATTTCCGAGTGCTTTCCCCTTATAAGCTACGTGATTTAATAAACTGTTGATTTGGCAAATGCGCGATCCCGGATGGATGATAAAATTTCTCTCTCTTTCACCCATCTGTCTGCCGTCCCGCTCATATTTGACTTTTGTGCTATGCGTTTCAAACAGTTTTTCAATGTGACAGGATGGCAAAGTGCTTGCACAAAGAAAAATAGAAAGCAATTTGGTAATTAAATGTAACACATTATAACTATGCAAAACACAACAATTGAAATAAAAACTGAAACCAATTCGTACAAGAAACACAAATACAAATATTAATATATAAAAATATATTTCTGATATTTTAATTTGATTTTACTAAAAGGCATTCGATGTTTTTAGGCATGTTTCCACAGATGAAAAATATTTCTTTATATACATAAAAAACTTTTTAATGGCAAGGATATATTTAAATAATATTAAAATAAGAATAAATGTCTGAAGTTTTTAGTTTTTTATCAGTGTGTTTGGGGTGGAGGGCTAGCAGACGGAACAGCACGAAATTATTTAACATGTAAATCAAGGCAGAGGCAGAGGCGAAAAATCTAACAGAGTTGAGTGCGAAACTTTTTTAATTTCAAAGCAAATAGCGGAGGGGATTTTTTGAGCATAGGGGATTTTTATAGCAGGGAAATGCGAGGGGGCGGGGGTTTTGGGTCAGCTGGATGGGTGGGCGTGGCGCTTGTGCAGATTATGGGGCGGTGGCAGTGGCAAAATCGCGATGATTATAGTCACGTACTTGTCACTCCAAACACCATCCACCACCCAACACCCACCGCCCACCGCTGAGTTGTAATTACACATGTGTGCATGTGTTAGTACTGTATCCGTGTGACTGTGTAGGTTGGCAAATATTGACGCTCAACTTTTATTTACGCACGCAAATGTTCAAGTTTCCAACAAAAGATAAATATGAAGTATTCTAAATCGTTGCCATGCCGAGCTCGTACTCCCCCACCACTTCCCCAAGTTCCCCATATTCCCCGCCCGGTACTCTGTGCCATTTACTCATTTAACTGACAGTTAAAATTACAAACGCTTATCATGTACCAGAATCATATCATACGGAATAATTTATTATGCCCAACGCTTAATGTAATTCCCGAGCAGCGAAATTTTCGCTTCACATGGCGAACGATGAGGAGTTCGGAGGCACAAGGATATATGGAGGGATATAGACTGGGGGGGTGGGGTGTCTGGGTGTGCGCTGGTTAACTGACTGGTTTTGTCTTTGGGATAGATGGAATAAAGTGCGCAACATACA